ATTCAATGTGTTTTCCTGTTCGGAGTGACCGCCGAACGAACGGCCGCCGCGTTTGCGACCGACGGCGTCGATCTCGTCGATGAACAGAATACACGGCGCGTTCTTTCGGGCCATTGAGAACATGTCGATTGCCGCCCGATTACGGGCCACAACACCAGCGACACCACCGGCGCCGGCGATCAGGTCATCGGCGTTGAAGTCCGGCAGCCATGACCTCAAGAATACGCTCAGTATATTCTGGTCGGCGTTGGCCTGTGTTTGCGGATCGGCGGCCGGTTTGGGCGGTCGGGTATAGGATATGATTGAGTCGGTCGGTGGCAGCGGATCGAAGCCGAAGATCGTGTCTTTCGCTAAGTCCTGACCGCAGATATAATTACCGATTAATTCAATGAGTGATTAAAACTAATGATAATTACGTTCGGGAGGGCGAGCGTCGCCTCCTTAATGCTCGACAGTATGACGTGTCTCAAGACATTCCTCGGGGTTCCGCCGCTCAGGTATTTCTTGCGCCTATAGTTTAAGGTATGAATTAATATCGCAATGATTATCAATAGTATGTAAAAGTGGATCAAATAGTCTGACCTCTCGGCGCAAACGGTGACAAACGGGTCTCTATTGGCCACTCTATCCATAACTGTCCGTACGTTGCGCTCCAACCACGACATGATATGCCTGTCCTTCCATAAGGAAGTGTGAGTGTGAGTATACTGTTGTCGGTTAACAGACCCATACATTCACACACCGTTAAGAGGAGTCAGATCTAGTGTTTCCCATCGGGTCATACCGTTCCCCTAACAATATAATTCTTAGAGGCAAAACTGACCGTCAGTTCCAATTATACCCCAGGTTTGAGTCGTTGACTGAGAGGACGCACTGGTCGTCGCAGAACATCTTCAAGAGTCCCAGTTTGAGGTGCGAGTGACTGGCGTTTGGCCAAACTGTGTCACCGGTTCCGTACAGTCCGCCACCGGAATGTGATTTGTATTAATCGTCTCCAAGACATCGCCGTAGAGTCGACCTTTGAATCCTAGAGCAAGACTAGCGGCGGAGAGAAGAGTAGGAAGTGATCGACGGAATCGTTGATTAGTTTGTTGAGAGCGCCCGTGAATGGCATTAATGGTAATACTCTGTCATATATTGAGGACGAGTTGCCAAAAGTGTTTGATTTCACCAAAATTCAGATGAGATTAACCGAAAAAGTGAACAAATTGTCCACTTCTGTCATCGCAATCATTGATCCAAACGTTTTGCCAAATTCTGACAAAAATGGTTTCGTAACACAAAATTACGAACAAATTGTTGACACGAATAGTCCCACAAAAGAAACACCAGATCTCACGTCACCGCTTGTGGTGAACCAAAACGTCAGGCGTAAAGTACATCGCATTGCCAGCGATTCTTTGGTCAAAAGTAATTTAAGTAATTCAAGTCCGACGAGTCTGACCAACAGTTCTTATGAAATGGAGGCACCGATTATAGAAAACTCTCAACCACTGGAAAACAATGTCCGGATTAATGTTAACATTGCTGACGAGAATTGCGATCAAACGGACGGAACAGATGAACAATTGACTGATGAAAATCGTTTGGAAATTATATTAAGTGTATATAAAAAACTTTTGTTAAATAAAAATTGTCAACATAATTCTGAATCGCTTTCTCCCTCCCATCCTTCCTCTCCCTCCTCTCCGGGACCGCCTTTTCCCGGGAAATTGAACTCAAACTTCCAGTCCTTACTCTTCGCGGATCCGCCGCTCGACGGCCAACCGGACTGACCCGTCG